AGATCAGTTAGGTATCTTTTAAAATAGGTAACTTGGGGCAGCATCAATATTTATATCATCACAGGTTCTTTTTAGGGGTGGCTGCATAGTTAAGAGTTAATATTCAGTTTTTTTTTTCAGCCATTTAAATGTTAATTTTTGGTTTTGACATTCATCTCTAAAACATAAGTGAAGTTATTACACTAGTAAAAGGATAATTGTTGTCCCATATTTTCAACTATCAAAATGTTCACTTTCCATTTTGGATATTTATTCCTAATGAATCAGTGAAAGTGTTGCGTCTGACAATCAATTAGATCATTGCTAACCCATATATCATCTACTGGGATGTTCACTTTCCTGTTTGGATTTTTATTCCTAAAACATCAGTAAAAAGTGTTACATTAATCAGTAGGACTATCTATCTTTTGTGGTCTGGATTTTCCCTTTTATATATTGTATCTCTTACAATCTCTCCCTGAGAACATTTTTATTGGGTGGTGTTCTGCTTCTCCAATCCAAGCACTGCAACTGATCCAGCAAGATAACTATAACTTACAGTGTCAGTAGGGTTGTCAAACAGTGACTCAATCCAAATGATATCTTGCAGATCGTAGAAAGCTTTAATCCAAAAGCTTGTGCAGATCTTCACAGATGAAGATAGATACAAACAAAAACATAGTATGTCTAGCTTCAGCAATTACATGTGCTCAGAACAGAAACTAAAGATATACTGAAAAGTTGGTGGGACTAGCTATACAGAGCATCTTCTAGCTATAGAGCGAGGAACAGACAACATTATTTAGATGCAAACAAACAACAAACCATGTGTATCATGATAGGTGGCTACAGCCCTCTCAGTCTTACACATTGGGGTTGATTTAGTAAAGGCAAAGAGGCTGTTCACTATACAAGAGAATTTTTACTTTGCAATGGAATTTGTCCTTAAACAGTATTAAACGCAAAGGCAAACTTTCATTATATTGCAGCTTACCAATTCTTAAATATGATGGTTGTATTAGATTCCCTTTTTAGGCTTTCTTTTGTCCATTTTCATCTGGTGATCCAGACCGCAAGTCTCTTTTTTTCAGAAGCACAAGCTTTCCAACAGAATGTATCAGTTTACAAGGATGAGCCAAGCCATTTAACACTGGCAGGAGTGGTCAAAATGATCAGCTTTTATTTATTCAATCAAAACTTCTGTCCTAAAAGGAAAAAAAAACTGCTGTAAAGTGTGAGCTGGAGTTTGGCTTAAATTTGTGTAGCATATTTAAATTCGCTAGTACATTTAACAATACCTTCCCCCCAGACTGACAATGCTTCTGTCTACTGTGCCTCCTACACTCATTCATCCACAGTTGTGTCTCACTAATACAGGAGGTGTGTTACTGGCTAGATCACCAGGTGAAAACAGAGGGAAAAAAGCCAAAGAAAAGAAAAGAAAACTGATGCAGTCACCACATTTAATGATTGGTAAGCTGCAGTATAATACATGTTTGGTTTTGGGTTTAATACCGCTTTAATTTATTGAATATGGTGAAAATACACTTTGCAAAAAATACTAAATAGCGTGCAAGGAAAGTATTTTGACTAGTACATGACTGGATGATGGAAGTCAGCAGAGTTGCACCCCAATAAACTAAGGAAAATCCCCTTGCAAAGTGAACAACTGATTTACCGTTAGTAATTCAACCACATAGCACCTAAATATTTTCCATATATCTCCTGCGAAGTAGATCTCTGTGAAACACATTGAGAAAGTGACCCTGTCCCACTGTGAGATACAGCTGATCATTTCATTGACAGATAGTGAAAGACTAGTGCTGTGATGCATCGTGATGTGAAGACCTGGGATTCGTGAAGTAGAGTGACACAGATTGTTACACATCATTCCAAGAGTTCAAACCTCAGGTCTTCTTCACATGGATTCAACAGCTCCTTTGGTTATAATTCTGTGCATCAATGAATCTTCCAGTACTGAAGGGGATAATTTTCATATCACAGGGGATTTTTACATGAAAGCAGAAAGAGTTGAGTGAAATTTAATTTCAAAGGCTCAGACAAGAATCTTTTTTATGTTCTCAGCCCCTGACAGGTTCGTGTCATATGGTTCTGTGAGTCTTACGTATATTCCAAACATATAGGCTTTATCCTACTTAGTGCATCTAAAATGTACAGTAACTTCAAATATTTTTATTGTTTAAAATGAAATTGACACTTTAAAAAAAATAATGTTGAAAATAGGTGTAAGGTCCTGGACGCTAGATATGCCTGCTTTCATAGCACACTTGTAAGCAGGTGGTTACAGGGGTTGTAACTTTTTGTGAAAAAAAGTTTTCTTTTATTTTGGGTCACCTGTTATAACATGTTATTATTGTGTGTACTTTTTATGCAATGTTTATTGGCTTAGCAAGCTCGCCAAAAGTTAGGAAGGAGTTGAGGTTGCCAACTCTTTTGTGTTCATGATTCTGCCCCTTTTTGGTAACCCATAAGGGGAGGTAACTCAGGAGTGTGTGAAGAGAAGGGGGAGAGAGAGCAGAGGGGACGTGTCATGGGCTTGGGGCTGCAGGACAATCATTGCCTGGAGAACTCTGTTTTATTGTGTTTTCAAGTTATCCAGAAAAAAATTGCAAAACCCACCAATTTATTCTCTAGGGCCACTGCTTTAATAATATATAACGTTTGGGGGTTCTATGAAATTTTCTAGCAAACAATACTGGGTGTCAGGGGCGGACTACCCATTTGGAAACTTGGGCACTGCCCGAGGGCCTGGGGTCAGTAGGGGGCCCCATGAGATGCCCCTGGTACCTTTTTCGTAGGCTTTTGTGAGTTTAGGCAAGGGCACAGGGGCCCCATGACTCCCTATTGCGCGGGGGCCCCATGAGTTGTCAGTCCGCCCCTGCTGGGTGTTATATATAAACAAAAAGTGCTAGAAAAGGTTTGGTAATCAAGTTGATAGTAAAAGCCATCCAATCAATCCTACATGTTCTGAAACGTGCTGACCCCCTCACCATTTTTGCCAAGCTTACCTGTCCACCGTGTTCAGGATCCCCATGGAGGATGTCAGGATAGAGAGTGTTTGGAAACTAGCAGAAATCTGTTCACTGATTTATCCTTTGATCATTGAACCCAAACATAGTCATTTTTGAACAATTCTACATTCAGAGTTGTCAGTCCCCAGCTGCTGCAGTTGAGAAAACAGCAGATTGAGAACAGTTTCTGTCCAATCTGCTAAGGGAGAGTACATGGGTGAGAGTGCATGTATCAAATTGGGCACCAAGAGACCCCTGCGCTATGATATCACAGAGGCGGCTCATCAGTCCCCTTGTGATAACAACAAAGTTCCTAAAATTTTTTTGAAGCCTTCACAATTATGTACACAAACATACAAATGCATAAGAAAGGGATTTTGCAAAACATATTCAATTTCACCAAATTTGCTCAAATAAGAGGAATGATTCTAGGGCAATATATTAAGGTTAACGCTAAATTAATAAGATGCAAAGGCTTTAAAAGTGTTGCCTGTAGACAATTTAAAGTACAGTAGTTTTTTGCAGTTTTGCGGATGCACAGAATTTTAGATATGACATATTAGGTGTCTATTTATTTGACACCATCTCATCTTTATATTTTACTAAAAAGTGTGGATTATATTGTGCTTGCCTGTGCTAAAATTAAATTCTGTGTATTTTTACTGAAAATTTTATTTGATAAACAGCTGCACTAACATTGTGAAAAATAAAAAGATTGCAAATACCATCATTTTATTGCCTTCAGAAAACATGTACTGTTTGGGGGGTTTTAAGTAATCTTTAGACAAAAATATGAGCATTTATACATCTGTGCATGAAATGAGAAAAATGGCTCTGGCAGTAAAAGGTAAAACTTGCTAGAAATTTTATTGTTTTTTTTTTAAGTAACACTGTCACTTTAATGAATTCTAGTTAACTGTACAGTATGTATGGATTATATAACTCTTTCCCCTTTTTAAGACAATTTTGCCAAGATAAACCCAACAGGCTCATAATCTGTTGTAATATTAAGCTACATCCTTAAATCAGAGGCAAAGAGGTGGCTTTTCCCCATATATTTATAAGACACACATTATAGAGGTGATTCTAGTAGGATAGTACTGCTTTGGACTAAAGGCTGTAGATCTAATGTCTTCAAGTATGTAAATTCATTAGGTAAATCTTTTCAACCTGTAGGAACTCAGCGGATGATTCTACTCACTGATGTTTACGCAACACTAAAATATCAATTTTGGGAAGTTTTAGCTTTTTATGGGAGTTTCCCAGATAAAAAAAAATTACTTTTTTTTCCAACAACATCTCTTTTACTTCACAAACACTAAAAGCTACACGTCTATATTTTATTAATTAATTTTTGTTTGTCCTGGAGAATGTAATTTCAGGGTGTGCCGCAGAATTTTTGCATCAATTACATGCCTACTGGTGTGTTGCTAAATGTTAACTGAGACACCCTCTCCAAGCTTGTTCACCTGCTTCTCGGAATACTGAGTGTTTCTTGACTTTTTCTGTCAAAATCAGGTTCCCTGGAGATAGTCTAATATTATTTCCATGTTGACAGTTTAGCAGAATGTTACACAGTACCTTTCATATCGGAGAACTGGATATAACTTTGACAAATTACTCTTACAAATTAAATTGGGTTAGGGCACAAGAGAGTTGGGTCATGTCAAAGCCCAGTAATAAGACAGTCAGTAAGCTGGTCTGCCATGTAGTTTCACTGGAGTACAATGGTAAAAGGGTTTGGTTATTAGCAAGAACTCATTTTAGCTAGCTTTTGCAATAGGTCACCACTATTATTGGATCCCTATTGCAAAGAATTCTTTGAGACAAATGATCATCCTGTTATTACTGTATTCATACACTTTATAACTGTAGCATCCTCCTATGTAGCTTCGGTGACCCTTAAAAAAGTGCTTACAGTGTAGTAATGTGTTGGCGTTTTATACATATACTACTACACTGTAAGTGCTTTTTTAATTGAATAATTGGAATATCGGCATTAGTGGAGATCTTTTGAAGTATAGCAGTGGACTGACAACTCAGGGGTGGACTGACAACTCATGGGGCCCCCGGGCAATAGGGGATCATGGGGCCCCTGTGTCATTGCCCAAACTCAAAAAAGCCTATGAAAAAAGGTACCAGGTGAAAGGATTAAATGGAATATAACTGAATCCATTTTGTATACACTAATACAAGATGCTAGTTTAACCTACATATATGAGATATGTACACACTAAGAAAAACTGTCTATGCCAGCTTCATGTAGAAATGAGTGTTTTTGCAAACTTTACAAAAAAAAGCAGATAAGGTTTACTCTCACTTCTGAAAAGTTTTAACCACAACTTGGGTGTTGGGTCAGATTACAGCCATGGTCTTGGGTGTTGGGTCAGATTACAGCCATGGTCTGGGCGATAGACCAGATATGGCATGATAGATAAAGCAGAAGAGTGAAAATGCAAACCTCATACAAATAATTGTTGAGTTAAGGTAAAAAAATGTACATGTATCTGATTGGATGGTCTGAAGGTGTGTTTGCCCAAAGACTACAGTATAATAACCCTGATGTTATGCCAATAAAACTGAAGTGTTTGCAATCACAACTGAGGTGACTTGAGTGCATTCACTTTCCGAGATCTCGTAGCTGTGTCCAGGTGTGACCGTTGGTATCTTGAGGGGGCCCCCAAGGAACAGGAAAAAGACCACCTACCTACTTTCACCAGGGGCATCTCATGGGGCCCCCTACTGACCCCGGGCCCTCGGGTAGTGCCCGAGTTTCCAAATGGTCAGTCCGCCCCTGGTAGTAGTTAACTATGAGATTCCAGGCTTCATATTTAAGAAAATCTGGTAAGGTGCATGACCCGTGAGGTGGTGGGTCACAAAGGAGAATTGTGCACTAATTAGTGATCACAAAGTTCGATAGAGTGTGAGCACATTGGCACTATCGTTGTTTGCTGTATTGTAAATACTAAACTATATGATATTTATTATTTTTGGAGAGCAATCCATCACAAAAGAAAAAGACTGAAAACAGAGTAATTTACAAGATCCATCTTCCTTATCACAAAGAAAGAATTTTTGATTGGAGGATAAGAGTAGGAATTATGGATTTAGAGTGATGGCACATGGTAGAGATGTGGCACTATTATAGCACTTATATGTGAGTGTAATATATATTTGATTTATTGTATTTAAAAGATAATGCACTATATGCATTTTTATAGTTTTTGTATGAGGAGTTAATACTCTATGAAAGGAGGAAGAGGAGCACACTGTTTTTGCCATACAAGAATAGGATATTTAAATATTCACGGTGAGAACCTTGGAAGAATGGAAAGACTTATAGTATGAATTTCCACGTATTGTGATGAAGGTCTTGTGACTCTATACTAATTTGGATGCTGGGTTCTTATTTATATTGTAGCTTCCTAGGGCGGAAGTAATATCCTAGGAATTTATTTATTTTATTTGTTTTTATTTATTTCATTTGTTTTATACATTTTATTTCTATTTGTGGATATTTGGAGATTAGTAATTGAGGTCTGTCCTGGTTTTGGAGTTTACATACAACTCCATTTTAAAATGAGAAAGACTTATAGTATGAATTTCCACGTATTATGATGAAGGTCTTGTGACTCTTTACTAATTTGGATGCTGGGTTCTTGTTTATATTATAGCTTCCTAAGGGGGAAGTAATATCCTTTGAATTTATTTATTTTATTTGTTTTTATTTATTTCATTTGTTTTATACATTTTATTAGTATTTGTGGATATTTGGAGCTTAGTGATTGAGGTCTGTCCTGGTTTTGGATTTTACATACAGCTCCATTTTAAAATGAGAAAGACTTATAGTATGAATTTCCACGTATTATGATGAAGGTCTTGTGACTCTATACTAATTTGGATGCTGGGTTCTTGTTTATATTGTAGCTTCCTAGGGGGGAAGTAATATCCTTTGAATTTATTTATTTTATTTGTTTTTATTTATTTCATTTGTTTTATACATTTATATTTGTATTTGTGGATATTTGGAGATTAGTGATTGAGGTCTGTCCTGGTTTTGGATTTTACATACAGCTCCATTTTAAAATGAGAAAGACTTATAGTATGAATTTCCACGTATTATGATGACGGTCTTGTGACTCTATACTAATTTGGATGCTGGGTTCTTGTTTATATTATAGCTTCCTAGGGGGGAAGTAATATCCTTTGAATTTATTTATTTTATTTGTTTTTATTTATTTCCTTTTTTTTATACATTTTATTTGTATTTGTGGATATTTGGCGATTAGACATTGAGGTCTGTCCTGGTTTTGGATTTTACATACAACTCCATTTTAAAATGAATTAATATTTCAGTTGCAAAAATAAGATGTAGGATTATGACCTTCATACTGGAAAATGGTCAGAAGAGAAACAGTTTAAGAGTAGGCAGAAGCTATGGTTTATTCATCTTTTAAATATTTTAATTAAAGCTGTACAAAGTACAGCATAAAGTAAATGGTTTTTTTTTGTTTATCACACAGAAAGGTACAAAAGGTTCAGCAACAGTAAAGTACATTCAAATGTGATTGAAAAGGACAGGAACAATTTTATGCACAGCTGAAAGACCAGCAATAGCATATTTAAGAAAAAAGGGGGAAGGGTTGTTCAAAAGAGAATGTGTCTCAAGGAAAATAATAAATAATGCAGATGAGGTAGCACAAAACCACCTCCATGGTGGATTAACCAGGTAAAAACAAAAAAAATGAGGTGGGGAGGAAAGTGGGGAGGAGGGGGATGAAAAGATGAGAAATGTCATAATACTTGTCCAAAGAAAAAAATAACTTTGTTGGTCAACTACTAAAGTTTTAGTTAGTTAAAAGTGTATGGTAAAAGTCTGCCGAGATGTAATTAGAGAACCAAGGTTTCCATATTTTTTTAAAAATGTGGGCATCTTATCAAGTGTGGCTGTCATTTTCCTATATGTCATAAATAGACTAATGCAAGCTTTAATTTCTTCAAAAAGGAAATGATAGTAGGTTTTTTCCAGGTACTTACAATGGTTTACTTCACTGCAAAAAAAAAATAAAAATAGAGAGGAACGCAGGCGGAATTCTATCCTAGAATAGTTGTCCGATTTCTTATCTAAAAGTTTCCACAGGGGTCTAGCTAAAACAGTATAAATGAGTTGATAAGTTTGGGACCAGAACTGCAAGCAGAAGAGTATCCCTGAATTTAGTAGGATATATTGTAAGAAACCAGATTAGCACTTTATAATTTATTTCAGCTGCTAGAAAGTAGTTGAATTCCTAGACTTTTTATTCCATATATCTCACCAATCTTCTCGAGAGATATCCATCCCAAGGTCAGAAGCCCAACTAGACATACAGTTGTGTTCAAAATAATAGCAGTGAATAAAGCTCAAAATCCTTCTAATAGCTTTTATTTCCATCCACACAAATGCATTGGGAACACGACACATTCTATTCCAAATCAAAACATGAAGAAATATATATCAAATTTGTGTTGTTCCTCTAAAATAATTGAAGAAAAGTGAATATTAGACTGTTAAAAAAAAAAAATAGCAGTGTTTGTATTCTTCTTTACAAACTGAAACATTCACTAAATAAACTGAAAAATGTTTGAAGATTTTGCTTTCCTTTGAATCACTTAATATTTGGTTGTATAAGCACTGTTTCTGAGAACTGCTGTACATCTGTGTTGCATGGAGTCAACCAACCTCTGGCACCTGTGAACAGGTATTCCAGCCCAGGATGATTGAACTACATTCCACAGTTCTTCTCTTTTTCTTGGTTTTGCCTCAGAAATTGCATTTTTGATGTCACCCCACAAGTTTTCTATTGGATTAAGATCCGGGGATTGGGCTGGCCACTCCATAATGTCAATCTTGTTGGTCTGGAACCAAGATGTTGCACATTTACTGGTGTGTTTGGGGTTGTTGTCTTGTTGGAACACCCATTTCAAGGGCATTTCCTCTTCAGCGTAAGGCAGCATGACCTCTTCAAGTATTCTGATGTATTCAAACTGATCCATGATCCCTGGTATGCGATAAATAGGCCCAACACCGTAGTATGAGAAACATCCCCATATCATGATGCTTGCACCACCATGCTTCACTGTCTTCACAGTGTACTGTGGCTTGAATTCAGTGTTTGGGGGTCGTCTGACAAACTGTCTCCGGCCACTAGACCCAAAAAGAACAATCTTACTTTCATCAGTCCACAAAATGTTGTGCCATTTCTCTTTAGGCCAGTCAATGTGCTCTTTGGCAAATTGTAACCTCTTCAGCACATGTCTTTTTTTCAACAGTGGGACTTTGCGGGGGCTTCTTGCAGATAGCTTGGCTTCACATAGGCGTCTTCTAATTGTAACAGTACTCACAGGTAACTTTACACCTTCTATGATCTTCCTGGAGCTGATTATTGGCTGAGTCCTTGCCATTTTGGCTATTCTTCTATCCATTTGAATGGTAATTTTTCGCTTTCTTCCACGTCTTTCAGGTTTTGGTTGCCATTTTAAAGCATTTGCGATCATTTTAGCTGAGCAGCCTATCATTTTCTGCACTTCTTTATATGTTTTCCCCTCTCCAATCAACTTTTTAATCAGGTACGCTGTTCTTCTGAACAATGTCTGGAACGACCCATTTTCCCCAGAATTTCAGAAAGAAATGTACTGTAACCAGCATGCACAACATTTGCTGCCTTCCTTCCTTAAATAAGGGCAATAATTGCCACCTGTTTTTCAAAGAATGAATGACCTGACTAATAGAACTCCACACTGCTATTATTTTGAACATACCCCTTTCAATTAGTGATTCAATGACACAGAATCAGCAGCATGCATGTCATGACTGTTGAGTCTGTTGGATTTCTATTACTCTACTACACCTGCTAGGAAATTATTTGCCATGTAGAAATATCATTTCTACCAAAAAAAGTGACTGATCAGGTTAGTGATGTCTGACTGCTACTATTTTGAACACAACTGTTTAACTAGGAGGTGAGGAAAAACAGGACTTGATTAATAGTGGGTGAATAGTGGAGATAATGCCCAGAGCGTGCGGTTCTGTGTTTCAGAAATGTTCAGATGATAGTGCCTGTAAAGGGGTATCAGAGTAATGAAGCTGGAAAGATGCATAATGTTTCATTTTAACTTCTTGAAAATCTCTTTATGTGGTATGTTATACAATTCCTTGAGGGAATCAAAGGACTTAAATCCAGAGAGTTAAAGAAGATCATACAAGTAAATCAATTTTGTGCCCAGCCACAAAGAAAAGCTTCTGGGAGAATACTAACCAGGAGTAAATAAAAAAAAGGGTTCCCAAAAGGGAAATTAAAGGAAGATGAGGAAATAGAAGTTTGAGGGAGTGGAAGGTAATATTACTAGAAAGTACATTGCACCATGACGGTGGAAGCCAAAGGAGAGATTTTATAGAAAGGGGAGCAATAGCTTAGGCATCTAAGCCGACCCAATGTGGGACATTAACCTGCGCATGAAGAAAGGTAAGTTGGGATATTTGTGCAGCACAGAAATAGCTAGATATATGTGGGACTTCCACTCTTCCTTGCAGCTTGGATTGAAGCAAGGTATGTTATTTGTGACCTATGGCCTAGTATTGCCCCATATAAAAGCTAGTATCTTGAAAAAACTGCAGAACATGAGGGGGGATCCGGAGCTGCCATAACTCTAAGGATAGGTTCACATCTGTGCGGATGGTGCGGCTGCGAATCAGCACGAAAATCTGTGCAGCCGCACCACCCACACGGAGAAATGCGGACCCTCAGGCGGGTACCATTAATTCTAATGGCA